GGGGGGGGGGGAAGCAACTAGCCGATGAACCTTAATGTATGGAGTGTGTAAAAAAGAAAAAAAATTGCAAAAAAGAAAAAAGAATAATTTAAATAATGTAGAAAAACACACACCTTCTAATCTTAGTAATGTGTGCTAGTGGGAATATAGAAGTGCTTAATTGGAAAAAATAAAGGGGGGGCTATATTGTATATGGTTTATGGCGAGTGAATGGGTTGAGAAGAATATGTGCTCGATTTGTGATGTAGTGTATTAAAGTTCTTAGGAGGATTAGTCACTATTCCTAAATGTATCATACCCATCCCTTATCCTATAGTACAATCATAAAGTCCTAATTGATCTTAGATTTGGCTACCTTAGATTAGTAGAGATATACAGTACGGACAAGCTTATGGTACGACCACGGAATGCACATGAAATTCCTTGTGAGAGTGAGCGAATTTTGTTCAATTGTGTGATGTCCTTAAATTATGTTCAAAGGCATACTCGAATGTGTGGACTATTCTATATTCACTTTTTTGTTTGTTGGTGAGGGCACATTATCTCATGAGAGATTGGTGAAGTTGTAAACTTCGTTTATTGGGTGAGTGCGTGATAACTAGGGATTATGAGGCATTTTACACTCCTTATTGCTTAAGTTTTGATTAGAAATGTGTACAAAATAGTCCCAAAGGCTCACATGTTGTACTTAATTATAGGGTTCGGTCAACAGGGTGACAATTTGTTAGAAACCAGCTCAAAAAGGAGTGAAACATGCACAAGTACCAAGAATAAGGCCAAGCTCAGTCAAACAGGGCAGTGCGGCCGCACACCATTCTGTGCGGTCCGCAAAGATGAAGTTCAGAGAGCAGGCATTTCAGGCAACCAAGCAATGCGGCTGCAAAGGATTTTGTGCGGACCGCATTGATGTCATTGCGGCTGCACTCGATTTTGTGCAGACAGCAGAGCCAAAGATCATAGAGTTGCCAATTGGAGGATTATGCACAATGCGATCCACGGTCCATTTTGTGCGGACCGCAATAGAAGCCACCACGGACGCAGTGCATTTTGTGCGGTCCGCGGTGGCCAACTTCAGAGAGCACATTATCTCAGCCAAGAGCCTTAGTACGGCCGCACTCGATTTTGTGCAGTCCGCACTAGCCCCGCATGGGTATTTTTGTCCAGAATTTTTAGCCTAGTATAAATAGTTTCTTTCCCCATTTTTAGGTCATCAGATATATTTTGGGACAGAGTTGCGCTTGTGAACACTTCTCTTTTACCATTTTGAGTAATTTTAGCTTAGTTTCATCATTGAATCTTCAAATGTTATCTAGTAATTAATTATTATGAGCTTTTCTTCATCTATTTCTTTGTTTTCTTTTATAATCATGAGTAGCTAGACCCATTAGCTAGGGTTGTGGCTCAACGCTAGTGTGGGTAATTGATGGGTCTTGTGTTTTGACGCTTGATTGTATATGGGTATTTGATATTTGGACTAATTTAGGGTTTTAATATTAAATTAGTGGTTGCAAACACTAGTTTATGCCTAGTAGACTTTGGCTCTTCTTGAGAAAGAGAGCCTAAGTCCATGAAATTGGTCCAATAAGGAATTAGGGCGTACTCAAGAGATTGATAGCCCCAATTAAAGGGTTAAATCTAGAGATAGTAATACCCGATTTGAACCTCAATTGTTTGCACAAATTATCATACCCAATTGGTCTTGAGAAAGTCAATTCGGGAAAAATCACTCGAACTACTGAGAGGTATAGAGTGAGTAGAATCGTGCAATGGTTATATCATACTCCCCAACTGTGACAATCTAGCCTTAGATTCAAGAATCTGTCAATTAACCACCTAGGAGAAAGTCACTACCTTAGTGTCTTTTATCTATTTGAACAACTCTCAATAGTTTAAATCTTAGCTTTACTTAGCTTAATTTAGCATCGTAGTAGCATAATCAAAACCAACAATGTTTAGAAGTGCAATTAGGAACAATTATACAACACCAATTTAGATAGAAACTCAACTCCAATATCTAGCTCCCTGTGGAAATCGATCCCGACTTCTCGGGTAAAAACTGCTTCGACCTCTCTTGTTGCTTCATAGTAGTACAGGGTTGGCCTCGATCAGTGCGTGAGTTGAGGATGCTTAGTGGTAACGAGTACGCTCTTGAGGTAGGATGGTGATGGATTGGTTGTTTGAGTTGGTTGAATCGCATTGTGTATACTTAGGCTTGTTTAAACACGGGAAGAATGTGAAATTCGCGTGTTCATGCTTGATTGCCGGTATCGACCATAGTCAAAAGGTAGAGTGTGTGTCTGAATTAAATTTGAATTGATCTTTCCTACTAAGACATACATTTTGGGGTGTCAATATAGTTTCATCGCTCGAGGACGAGCAAGAGTCTAAGTGTGGGGTGATACTCGGCTTAAAGTGTGCATATTTTTATATATATTGCCTCGTATTTTGCTCGTGCATTGTAGATTTCAGATGTGTACTATAATAATTTATGTTAATTTGTGGTACTTTAATGTGTAGGAATTATCTGGATACAAATTGGGACGAAGATGCGTGAATTAGAGTGAAAATGGGAAGAAAAGGGAAATTTGCACATTATAGCACCACAGGCAGTGTGGGGCGCTACTTGTGGCGCATAAAACAGAATGGTCAAAAAATCCAACACCAAGGCTAGAACCTCACGCAGCCCTGGGCACTAGTGACGTGAAGTTGTCCTATTTCAACTAAGACTCAGTTATTTCAACCCCAAGGCGCCCCCAACTCATATAAAAGCCAATCTATACCTATTTTGGCAAGGAGGACACTACTTGGAGAGAGTAACAAAAGTACGAAATACTCAGGAGCATGGATTGGATCAATTCTTCCATTCTTTTTCTAGTATTCATTGATTTTATGTGTGAAAACATTATTTTTTATGAATCTATGAAAATGAGTGGCTAAGAACCTTATTATTCTGGGGTCATTGGTGCTAAATGAATGTTGACGTTTGAAGTTTAAATTGGCGAGTTTTGATTTTATCATATTGGGTTTTTTTATTTAATTTTGTTCTTAATTATTTTGATGTGTAGTTAACAGTGAAATACTACTTATGAATCTAGTGTTGAACTTGAAAGTGGGAATTCTAGATTGCATATAGGATTAAATAGAGCAAGTTCTTGAACCCGGACATCGGGGAATGGATTCACAGTTAGGATAGAAATGTACCTAATTGTCTTGCTTGGTTGAGATACATGAAGGGTAAATGCGTTCTTGTTAGTTTTAATTCCATAGACATATAGATATTAAGTTAGCTTGAATAGGCGAGTAAGAACTCGACATATTCTTACGGGTAACACCAACCCTGCCAACCAACAAACCAGATAAATCAATTAGCCAGTTTAAGCCAAGAACGCAACAAAATTGTTAGCTAGACTATTGATCACGCTCAATTCTAGTCCTAAAAAGGATAAGCGGTCGTTGTAAATATAATCCGGTCTATAAGTTCGAAGTCAAATCCGACAGAGAACTAAGGCTTAGCTGGAGTTGTTCAATATTGCTAAGAACCACAAGTCTAAACAATTTCCTAATTATAGAGATTATAATATTTATTTCTAACTAATTAACTAATACTATTATAAAGCAGTAAAATTATCAACTAATAATGATGAAATTTGATATAAAACTAAGGAGGTCTAGAGTTATGATTTCTTCAAATGTTGGAATCCTTCCCATTATGTTCCCAACAATTTTGCCTATATATTCTCTACTGATCGTGAGCACTTTAGGTACCGTAATTCTCTCTCGAGCAACTATAACAATTTACTAGACATATTCTTTCGAACTACGCTAGTTGGCTTTATTTAACCGCTTATTATGACCACGTCAAGGCTTTGTTATTTCTAAACCTACATTTAATTCCGCTGTATTGATTTCTCACATACGTTAGGAGTAACGTTGTTCAACAACCACCTAAATATGTATCCTTTCTCAAGCAACGCATAATAAATAGGCACAGTCAATCAATGGTCATTCAATCAACAACAATAAACACATAGTTAAATAAGTAGAGAAATCCAACGGCTCAATTATATAAAAACATAACAAGAATTTATCCTACAAAAGGTTCCATCAAAACCCAAGATAACAAATTAACTATTCATTATAGTATGTAAAAATACAATACTAAAAGTTATAACCAACAATGGAAAATAGGAATAGGAAGGAAAAACTCGCAGAAGAATTCCCCGCCTTGCTCATATTGTGTCTCTGCCTCCTTAGGTCGAATTTGTGTCAAAAGTATGTCCAACCTGCTCAAAATTCTATTTTTCCATGTATATATACCAAGTAGGTTCGGGCCCAAACAATTATACCTTCTCCCACGCGAAAAAGGATAATTTTTCAGGTCTGGACGCTTGCGGTACCGGCGCGGTATTTTCCCAGTGCACTACCTCATTCCGCGGTCACAGTTTCGACTGCGTTTTTCACCCTGTTCCATTTGAAATTTGGAAACATATAAAACATGAAAGTTGTATCCCTTTGAGTTAGATTTCCAAACATATATTATATAGCCTAAATGGAGTTCGGAGCAAAGAGTTATGTCTATTTTACTAGACAGTGCGCAATATGCCTACTCAAGTCTTCGTTTATTCTTAACTATCAAATTTGACCCCCGAACACGATCCCGGCTTAATTCCTTGGGCTTTTACTGAGACTTCAAAGCTCCAAATCACTAGAATTCATTCCATAATATTTATATAGCTCGAAATCACTCCTACAAAACATAAAACACACCATTAGTGCAAAACACTAGCGATTAAAGCTCAAACTCAATTAAAGTGCAGTAAATTAGAGTGTAATAAGCGACTAAAATATGCAATTATAGTCTATCATCAACTATGACACTGGAATATCCTCTCCTATTGTTTTTGTCCAAAATTGCCTAAGTGTTGTAGTCATCTCTAGTTATTTCATTGCTTAATAGTTTCTTTGGTAGTTAACTAATCACTTACACATTTTGTTGGAAAAATATCTTGAATCGATAAATTCTTTGAGTTTGAATCAGTCAAAAGTTAATAATAAATCTTCGTGAGAACAATACTCTACTCACAACTTTATTACTTGACGATCGCGTATACTTCCGTATGTGTTTGGTCGCAACAATAACTTATGCGAGTTTAATAGTAAAAGCGAAAAATACAAAGTTAAATATCCAAATATCAACATTAATCATACAAGATATTATACTAAAATCAAATATTGGATATATTATTTTTGGCAAATTTACACATAACAACCTTAGAATGTAAAGATTCGAAATTTTTTTTACATCAATCACAAGCATCTACACTGAAAGTTAGAACATTATTTTTAGTATCAAAAGTTAATCCTGTCCCTTGAAGTTGATTAGTGCCTATAATTGAAAAATTATGATTCCATCCAAAAAAAACCTAAGCAATAATGCCCTGCATTTTGTATTACAACTCTTTCTTGTACTAACATCAGCTCTTGACTTGGAGAAATATTGCCAAAGTAAAACCTCACAACTGGGAAATATACTTCAGCGCTAAATGGATCATCTTTGTAACATGTATCAAATGGACCAACTCCATCTTCAACCATTTCATAATCTTTAACCTCAAGTCTAAAAACGTCGCGAAATATAATATAAAAATCATGAGGAAAACGCGTAATCAGTGTCCCTGTATCGACAATAACACCTTGATTACCATTATTCCACCACGAAGGTTCCACTGGAACAACTTTATCGTTAATCACAATCTTGAAAATATTAACATTATAAAAATGAGGGTTTAATGGATTTTTTACTAGTTTCACCTCGGTTCCATATGACCACGGAGCTTTATTAAACGTGAGAACAGATGGTTGTACTGAAGTAGAACTTGGTAAACATAATGCAAATATAGACGACCCTAATTGAGATGGTAAAGAGTATCCACCTATGGCGTTCGTGCTAACTCTTCGACCAAGTCCAGCAATTCCAGAAAATGTACCACTGAAATCTTGACTACCACTTCTTTGATCAATACTACAACCAAAATTAATCCTAGCTTGTGTATTGTCTGAAGGAAAAATAATAACCTCAGATTGCATAAAACCTTTTGTTGTTTGTCCACTTCCATATGTTGTCTCATAAAAACATAAACTACTACTTAAAGCACAATGAAAATGTGGATCTTCAGCTATACAAACTGAACTATCCTCAACACAATAAAGTCTTTTGAAAGTTTTCGACGTGGTACGATTATATATAGTATTAAAAACCTGTTTAAAACATTTATTTGGAACACAAGGTGCACATTGCCACCAAACTAAATAACTTCCAGTGTCTATTAGTAAGTAATTTCTTATTCTTTCACTACCAAGCATAAATAGGGCAACATAATGACTTTGATAGTATGAAGTAGGTGCTACCTTTAGGGTTTGGTCATGGTTCTTACTCAAATTATGCGCGTACTTCTCTTGAAAATCGGGGTCTTTTTTTATTTCAGTATCGCGGTATTTGAACTTTGATGCTAAGTATGTAGCTCTAGCATGATCTTGAGCCAAGCGATTTGTAAGCACGGAGTCATAGTCGGTGAATTTTGATTTTTCAAAAACGTCGATATGGTAAACACTAAAAGAATAAGACAGCATTGGAGGATCTTGAAGCTTGGATATATCAAAAGACATAAAAGTTTTTCTAGCTTGTTTAATGGAAGAAGAATTAATCTTGAAATATGATTTTTCATTGATTAAATTGGCAAATGATTTCCAATGAAGGATTGACATAAGAAGAAGAAGAAGAAGAATAAAGAGGAGGTTTTCCATTGGTAATTTGTTTAATTTTACTATTGATTTGGTTTGAAACTTGTGCAGACATCTTCAATTATTTATAATATAAATATGTAATTAAACATGAAATCCCGTTAAATATATTTACGTATTTGCAATCTATATATTAATTAGGCTACTAATTCTAGGGTCAATAATCAAATTTAATTATATCTATATTATTGGTAAATTAATCTTGTACTTGCCTTTTTGGTTCCAATCTCCTAAAGCAGAATATTGCTTTCCTTAATTATTTCACAAAATAATTTGCATGATTTTCCGTATACATAATGAGATATGTTTTTATCTTGAGACTAGTATTAGTATCCTAATTAATATATAGATTGCAAAAAAAAAAATATATATATACCTAAATTGTGATTGTTGCAAAATAAAGTTTCCAAATAGTATAAATTGCATATTTAATTCTTGTTAAGTAATGTTACATGATTTTATGCTTAGTTTGGACATTTCCAAACAAGCATAGGCATATTTTAATGATTTAACAAAAATAAGTGTGAAATGATTCAAATTTGTGTTCACATTAAATACACTTTTTTTTATCCAAATTTGTATACAAAATTTGGAAATATTTTAAAGATGAAACATAAACCAATGTTATAAATGATTGAAGCAGTTTGCTCAAGTTTCAAACCAAATTAATACTACATCAAAATTACTAATGGAAAACCCCCTTTTTCTTCTTCTTCTTCTTATATCAATCCTTCATTGGAATTCATTTGCTAGTTTAATCAATGAAAAATCATATTTCAAGATTAATTCTTCTTCCATTAAACAAGCTAGAAAAGCTTTCATGTCTTTTGATATATCCAAGCTTCAAGATCCTCCAATGCCGTCTTATTCTTTCAGTGTTTACCATATCGACGTCTTTGAAAAATCAAAATTCAACGATTATGAGTCCATGCTTACTCATCGTCTTGCTCAAGATCATGCTCGAGCTACATACTTGGCATCAAAGTTGAAATACCGCGATACTAAAATTAAAAAAGACCCCGATTTTCAAGAGAAGTACGCACGTAATTTGAGTAAGAACCATGACCAAGACCTAAAGGTAGCACCTACTAACTACTTTAATGGTCACTATGTTGCCCTTTTGTTGCTTGGTAGTGAAAGAACAAGAAATTACTTACTAATAGACAGTGGAAGTTACTTAGTTTGGTGGCAATGTGCACCATGCGTTCCAAATAAGTGTTTCAAACCGCGTTATAATACTATATACGATTCTACCACCTCCAAAACGTTCACAGGACTTGATTGCGTTGAAAACAGTTCAATTTGCATAAGTACAGATCATGATTTTCGTTGCGCTTTAGGCAGCAAACGATGTTTCTATACGCAACAATATATCACTGGAGAAACAACAAAAGGTTTTATGGCATCTGATGTGATCACATTTCCTTCAGACAATACACAATCCAGGATAAAATTTGGTTGTAGTATAGATCAAAAAGGCGGTACAGATTTCAGTGGTACATTTTCTGGGATTCTTGGTCTGAGTAAAAGAGTAAGCTTAACAGCTACAGGTGGATATTCTTTACCATCTCAATTAGGTTCGTCCATATTTGCATTATGTTTACCAACTGCTGCTTCTGTACACCCATCTTTCCTCTCCTTTAATAAAGCTCCGTGGATATATGGAACAGAGGCAAAACTACTAAAAAATCGATTAACTCCTCATTGGTACTACGTCAATCTTTTCAAGATTGTGATTAACGATAAAGTTGTTCCAGTGGATCCTTCGTGGTGGAATGGTCAAAAAGAAACCCATGGAGTGATGATAGATACAGGGACATTAATTACTCGTTTTCCTCATGATTATTATATTATATTTCGCGACGTTTTCAGAGAAGAAGTAAAAGATTATACTATGATTGAAGGTGGATATGGTATATTTGACACTTGCTATGAAGATGATCCAGATGGTGCTGAAGTATATTTCCCAATTATCAAATTTTACTTTGGCAATTATTCTGAAAGTCAAGAGGTGCTGCTGGTAGATGGACGAGTTGTAGTAAGTATTGGGGGCTATTATTGCCTAGCTTTTATGCCATGGGATGATAAATCTACACTTATAGGCACTAANATATATATATATGTGCGCGCACGCCTTTTTTCTTCTTTTCATAAAATTGTTTCTCTCTTTCATAAAAAGGTATGGTGAACCGTTTAGTTCGGCTTTATTTTTTCATTACTTATAAAAGATAATAATAGCCTGTTTGGCCAAGCTGCAAAAATCAGCTTATTTTAAGAAGTGTTGTTTCTTAAAGTGCTTTTCTCAAAAGTACTTTTGGTGAGAATCAGTTTGTGTTTGGCTAATTAATTTGAAAAGCGCTTCTGAGCAGGAATTAGGATTTGACCAAGCTTTTAAAAACTGCATAAGTGTATTTTTCTCAAAAGTGCTTTTCAAAAAAGTATTTTTGGAGAGAAGCTACTTTTTTTTGCTTCTCCAAAACTGTCTCTGCTTCTCTTCAAAAGTAGTACTTTTTTCCTTCCAAAAGCTTGGCCAAACACCTCAATTTTTCGAAAAAAAAAACACTTTTTGGCTAAAAAAGCACTTTTGGCCCAAAAAAAAAGGTTTGGCCAAACAGGCTATAAGTCCATTAGAATAGAAGTTAAAGAAGATATTTATAGAGAAATTTTCATAAAGCACTATCTTTTAGTAGTAATTAGCCATCTATAGATACCATTTGCTATATTACGGATTATAGATACTTTTTTTGTGGTTATAAGATGTATTTGATGTATTTAAGCTATTGTATTCATGAATACAATAGCAAAAATAGGCGTGAATTAGAGAAGTCCAGCTAATCAGTTGTTGTATTCGAGTGTATTCGACTGTATTCATGGAGTGAAACATGGGATTATAACTGGACAAATTATTGTATTTGACTATATTCACGGCGTGAAATAAGGGATTACATTGTTTTTAAAATGGAAAGTGAATCAACTAACATAATAGACACCTAATATAACTCAACAAACTCAATTATAATATACAAATTTTGTATTTTCAGTTATAAATAAGATTCTCAACCGAAAATACCCAAAAAACATAGCAATCTTCAGAGAAATTATATAATACATCTAAATACATAAATTATATTAATTAAAAAAATATATGAATACATTCATGGCATATAGCGAGACAGTGAATACAATGAAATACATAAAATACAGCGGGATACATTGAAATACAATTAGAGAAAAAAAACCAGTGAATACAATGAAATACATGGAATACAACGAGATACATTGAATTACAATGAAAAAAAGACAACGAATACAATGAAATACATGAAAATACAACGTGATACGTTGAAAATACATTAAAATATATTAACAGAAAATTAAGTTGCTCAACCCCAAAATCCGTCGTCTTTGTTCAAGAACAAACCCTAATTTCCAACTACTCCTAGTGCAGCAGATGCAATAATAACGTCAGAAGCAGCAGCAACAACAACAACAACAACAACAACAACAACAACAACAACAACAACAACAGGAAGCCACAACTCGTTTCCCTTCTAACAACAACAAGAAGCCATGGCCGCCATCAACAGAAATTGTGCCTTTGTTAAAGGAAGAGCCGGAGAAAAACGATTTGAAGGATGGGCACATGAAAGTTATGCCAGAAAATTCTTGGAACCTGAAAAATCTTTGAGTAAAATGGTCTATGCCCTCCATGTGATATAAGCGTCTCTAATTTGATTCACACAAGATGCTTAAAAGACCGGCACACGAAAGTTGAAGGCTGTGGTCGGAGAATCCGGATGTCTGTGCTGCTAGAATCTTCCAATTAACATGAGAACTAGACCATAAACCCGACGGTGAGACTAATTTATCAACGCCGAGCATGAGATCTGAAGCTGGTATCCGAAGTAGGCCATGAGATATGATTCGTTAAAACAAGAGAAATTTCATGGAGAAAGACTGGAATTGAGAGAGAGTGTGGAGAAAAATCTGAAAGAATGAGAGAGAAAAATAATACAAGCGTATTTTATGGTTTAAGGGTAGGAGGTGACCATAAATAGATATTTGACTATAAAAATCAAAAGGTAGTTGTAGAATATAATTTTTTAAAAGGATATTTATTTAAAATAAATAAGGTATCAACCTTTGCTATAGGAGGTAAAAATTCCATATTTATATTCATTGTCTTGGATCCTCTGAAAATTGAGTAAATGTTGTTAAATTGGGTCAAGTACTTCATGAAATTAAGTGGGCGTTTGGACATAAGAATGGTAAAATTCCAAAATATGATGAAAAAAAATTTCAAGTGAAAATGGTGTTTGAAATTTAGAGTTGTGTTTGGACATGAATATAATTTTGGGTTGTTTTTTATGTTTTGTGAATGATTTGAGTGAAAATTTTGAAAAATAGCTTTTTGGAGTTTTTTAAATTTTCAAAATGCATCTTCAAGTGAAAATTGAAAATTTTATGGACAAACGCTAATTTCGAAAAAAAATAAAAAAAAAGGAAAAATCCAAACGGGCTCTCTGGAGTAGCAGAAAATATAGCCAGACGGCTGGCTACTCCACTAACAACATCCAAAATTTTGACTATTCTATGTCTCAATCGTACCAAAATATATGACGAAGCTACATCAATCAAGAATGACCGTAACCTACGAGCTTTAATAAATACAAAAGTGTTTTGTGACACGTTTAAGACCACAATTTTCAAAAGTATTCGTATCTTCTTAAACTATGTGCCAATCAAACTATGTCGTAAATTAAAATTGAAATATAACGGATGAGGTACTACTTAATCAAAATTTAGTTATAGAGAAGAAAAAATAATGTACAAATGGTGGATGTGTTATTTTCCTCAGATTTTAA